ACCCAGAATTATAGGTCCATGATTGCCCTTTTATAATGTGGCAAACAGATTCTATTGCCAAACCACCTCATTGCAGCTTTATCCAGCAAGAAGTCTATGTTTCTCTACTACTTGTTGCCTTTTGTGTTATAGCTTCAGACATTTCTTGACAACTAACTCCCTGAAGCAATTTTTCTCCATTAGTAACTGTTAACAAAAATCATTACATTTCCTTTGATCCCTAGCCTAGCATTTGGAATCCCAGCCCTCATTATCTAACTGTACACCTAATCCTCATACCGGCTATACTAATCTTGATTTCCAGAACACATCTAGCACTTTTCTACCTTCCTGTATCTTTACTCCTGTTGTTCTGTCTATCTGAAACAACCTTTCTAACTCCAACGATGTCCACCATCTTTAACTCCAGCTCCAATGCCACAGTCTCCCCGAAGTTCCCCATAATAGGCTTCATCCAAACTTAACCTTTCCCATATTTATGCTCCACAGAAAAGTCTTGGCCTCTTCTACACTTCCTCCCATAGTCTTGTTTGCATTATTCTTATTTGTGTATTTGTCATTCTTATCATTAGATTGTAGGCATCTTGAGGGCAAAATCCAGGGTTGCCCATGCAACATGATAGTGGCAGAGGAGTGTGAGGGGTACAGCCATGAGCTTAAATCACAGTGCCAAGTCTCAAACCTGCTTACACAATGTACCAGGTGCATGACTGTGGGCAAATTACTTCAACTTTCTGGTCTATAATTTTCTCAACTGTACCTACCACAGAGGGATCTTGTGATAATTCAGTGAGATTCCATGTAAAGTGCTTAGAAAGCACGTTGTAGGTGCACAACAGATGCCCAGTATTTACAATAACCTATGGTGGGGTCTCTTCATTAATTAATCAATAAATATTTATTGAGTGCTACATTAGTGTGTGCAGGCTGTTATATATAAAAAAAAGAAACACAGAGAATGGATGGCTTAAACAGTAAACATTTGCTTCTCACAGTCCTGAAGGCTGGGAAGTCTAAGATCATGGTGGCTCTCAGTTGGATTCCTGTGAGAATTCTCTTCTTGGTTTGTAGATGGCCACCTTCTTGCTGTGTCCACACATGGAGGAGGAGAAAGAGTGCTCTCTTTTTTTTCTTCCTTCTTCTAAACTCACTAATCTTATCACGAGGGCCCCACCCTAATCAGCCCCTGTAACCCTAATCACATCCCAAAGGACTTATCTCCAAATACTATCACATTGAGTATTAGGGCTTCAACATATGAATTTGGAGGAGGGGATGCACAATTCAGGCCATAGCACGTACCTATACATTTATTGAGATAGTCTAGGAATAGAGCAATAAACCAAACAGACAAAAATCTCTGTCTCATGGAATTTATATTCTAATGGCAAGAGTAAGGGAGTGTGGTAGACAGAATAATGCCCCCCCCCACCCCCAAAGATGTCCATGCCCTTTTCTCCATGACCTATGAATGTTACATTATGTGGCAAAGGGGAATTAGGCTGTAGGTGGAAATTAATGTTGCTAATCAGCTAATCTTAACATAGAGAGATAATCCTGGATTATTTTGATGGCCTCAATATAATCACAAGGGTCATTATTAGTAGAAAAGTAAGCAGAAAGGCCAGAGTGATGCATTGTGAGAAGGACTCGACCTGCTGCTGCTGGCTTTGAAGATGGAGAAAGGGGACCATGAGCCAAGAAATGCAGGTGGCCTCTAGAAGCTGATAAAAACAAGGAAACTGGTTCTCTCCTATAGACTTCAAAAGGAATTCAACCCTGGGGACACTTTGATTTTAGCCCAGTGAGACCTAAGAGTTTAACCTTCAGAATTATAAGATAATAAATTTGAATTGTTTTAAGCCACTAAGTTTGTGGTATTATGTTACAGAAAAAGACAGGAGAATATATATATATATATATATATATATATATATATATATATATATACACACACACACACACACACACACATACACACACACACACACATATATATCGAATATCAGACAGCAGTACATTCTATGGGGAAAATTGGAGCAGGGAATGTGGATAGGGAGTGTTGAAAGTGGGTGGTAATAGTAATTTTAAATAGAGTTGAAAGGGGAGGCCTCTGGTGACTTTTGAGCAAAGAGCTGAAGGAGGTGAGCTAGAAAGTCATGAAGTATCTGAGGAAAGAGTGTTCCTGGCAGAACACACAAGTATGAAGGCCCTGCAGTAGGAGCTTAACCGACATTTCTGGAAACCACAGAGGGCAGTGTGGATGTAGTGGAATTCATAATGACGAAAGTAGTAGGAGACGAGGTCAGATATTTAAAAAAAAAAAAAAAGATGCCTGTTTGTGTTGGTTTTACTCTGAGTAAGACAGGAAACCCAAGGAGGATTTTGAGTAGCCGAGTGATATAATGTGGCATGCATTTTAACAGAATTTCACTGGCTGCTGTATTGAGACGAGAACATAGTGGAGACGAAGCAGGGGGACCAATTAGGAGGCTATTGCAGTAATCGAGGCTGCAGGGGTTCGTGGCTTGGACCAGATGTAGCTGTGGAGGTGGCGGAAAGAGGTCTGCTCTTGGTTATTTTTTGAAGGTAAAACCAACAAGATTTGCTGATAGATAAGAGCTGGAGTAGAAAAGGAGAAGAGTTAAAGACGATTACATGATTTGGGGCCTTAAGTAACTGAAAGGTTGGAGTGGCCATATGCAAAGAGGGGGAAGACAGCAGCTGGAAACGTTTGAGGTAGGAGGTCAGCTCAGTTTGGGTGAACTTGGGTACCTGAACCCTCCTCCCCTTCCCCCATTCTTTCCCTTCAGATTGTTTTCCCATAGAAGCAAAGAGGCATAGACATAAGGAGTAATAGCCAGTGGGAAACAGTATCTTATTCAATTCATGATGGAGTCAATTTGCCATATGATACCCCTGCAAGGTTCTGATAAAAGCTGGGTTTGAGAATGAGATGGAGCCCAGGATGCTACAGGATGAATGTCTGTGTCCTCCCAAAATTCGTTTGTTGAATCCTAACTCCCTAGTTGGTGGTATTCGGAGGCAGGGCCTTTGGGAGGTCATGTGGGCAGAGCCCTTATACATGGGATTAGGGCCTGTATAAATGAGCCTGAGAAAGCTTCCTTACTCCCTTCTACTATGTGAGAACACAGCAAAAAGATGTCTGTGAGGAAATAGGCCCTCGCCAAACACTGAATCTGCTGGTGGCTCGATCTTGGACGTCTCAGCCTCCAGAACTGTGAGAAATACATTACTGTTGTTCCTAAGCCACCTAGTCTATGTATTTTGTTATAGTAGCCTGAGCAGGCTAAGACACAGGAGAACCAAGGGGAGCTTGAATCTTGAATGCTGGCCCTTACATAGCAGAATCTGAACGTTGAGCCAGCCTCCTCAGCCACCAGTCACAGGCAGAGAAGCTGGATGACAGCTGGGGCAGCTTAAATCATGGACCCCACGTACTGAATGGTGAAATTTATCCAGGAAATATTGAAGTCCCTGCCAATTGCCATAAATACCATTCCTCCCCAGGGACGGAGCCACTAAGGGTGTGGCAGTGGGATGAAAGTCCTCTTTTCCTACAGGCAAGGCTCAAACAGAAGAAGAGAGGCTGTGACAGTCCATTAATGTTTGTTGATTAGAATCGACTGCCTTCTTCTCCCTGTGCAAGCCCTGCTCATCTGCACCCAGCAGGGTGAGCCCTATCTCCAAAACAGAAGTTGGATCTCGATGCTCTGCCTTAGCTTCTGAGACAAGAAACCTTATTTTTTCCCCTCTCTTCTCGACAGGACCAAAAAGACCATGTAATGAGAATTCTTGGGCAGGAAACAGCCTCTTCACAGTTAGGGACCAGTAAGGGAGAGAGACGGACTATTAAGCTAGAGCAATTAAGAGACACTTCCTTTGCAAGATGGCACCTTGCTTTTTTCTAGTATTTTATGGCTTTATTTTATATATATAAATTAAATATTGAAACCATCTGAAATTTATGTAAGTTTAAGTATAAAATTATATTTAATTTTTTCCAGAATACTATACAATTGTTTCAATACCATCTGTTAAATAATTTATTTTTCCACATTGCTAAAATCTTGTATGTATTTGCATCAATTTCCTATGTATTACCTCCTTTAATCTAAAATGGTCTTGTAAGATAGGTATTGTTACAGATGAAGCTACCTGGGACAGGGAAAACTTGTATCTCAGAATTAGGAAAGCACAACAGCAATAGAATATGAATATTTGAAGAAAATTTAAGACCATGGCAAACGCATTTGTATTAGATAAAGTCTTCATAAATTAACAAATTTCACTCTATTTATTATAGCTCTAGCCAAAAGAAATAATAAATGCAGTAAATGCCTTGTTTAAAAAAAGAGACGCTTCCATCCTAGTAGTTCTGGATGATGAAGAGCTCTCTTGTTGCCACGAGGCCAAAGATCAAAAGGAGCTTTAAAAGCAGTGACTGGGACTTGAGGCAGTTTGGAAATGAGATTACATTACTCAGTGATGAGCAGAGACATTGCTTCGTGGCTGTATTTCTGTATTTGTTTTTTTCCCCCATGTTTGAATTTGTGAATACAATCTCCAATATCTTTGCATTGCCTAAGTGTTACAGAATTAAATCAAATCATTTAATTCAGGGATGATATCATTAGACCATGACTATTTATTAACTATTTCTTGCAGCATCAGAAATAACTTGATATTGCAAAAGATATACAGAAGGTGCCAAAAATGTATACACATTTTTTGTTTTTTTTTTAGCTGAGCCATCCTGCTACCTATTGGCAGCTCAGCGGCTGCTCAGCTCGGGCTGGACTCGAACTGCTGTTGCTCAGAGCTCAAACTCTTGAGCGAGCTCTTAACCAACTGAGCCACTCGGCCGGCCCTTATACACATTTTTAAGAAAGGAAAAAACTATATTAAAATTGTAATACTCAATATATACCGATAAGAGAAGATGACTACAAGTCACATGTATACATTTTTTTGGCAACCCTGGTATGTGGTTTTAGAGGTTCTCTTTTACTAGTTGTGGAAACTACTTTTGGGGGAGGGCGTTTTCTCCATATACTTAATTTCTACTCAATATATTTCCATACCTCTTCAAATGTGTAATAAGAATTGCAAAATGCAATACTTAGTCATTTGGTGCTCCTCAGTCAGTATGCATTAAGATGCAACCAGATGGGGAATAAAAAGATATGGAAGACTCTTTTCTTAAAGAAGCTTAATATTTAATAACTCCTACTGTGAACTACGAATACTTTCTGTGTTTAGTTTACCTCTTACAACCACCCTGCAAGGCAGATATTGCTCTTCCAAATTTAAGAGGTAAATGTTGAGGTGTATAGGTCATTGGCCAAGAACACACAAGTACAAAGTGGCAGGCTGTGGGTTGGTCTTCAAAATCCGCGCTCATTTCATTACTCCCAGCTCATTCTAATAAACCCGGCAGAATCTCAAAGTTATTTCCAAATAATTAATGCTCCCCCTCGATCAGGCAGTCCATGGCATTTTTCAACAAGTCAGAAAATCTTGGAGAAGATAAGGGGTTTCCCCCTCTCTAGGTCCCTTGGATGTGGCCGCTGTGGACCCAGAACGCATCCTTTCTGATCCGATATCTTTCTTGCCACCCTGGCCAGAGGGTCAAGGTCTTTTCCTTATGGTTGGGAGCCCCAGTAAACTGCCCATTCTCTACTTCTTTCCCAAGGAAAGATGACCCAAAGGCGACCTGACTCCTCTCCTCCACCGAACTGCCATTCTGTGAGCGGCCGCCAGGGGATCCCCGCTCTGCGCCCCCGCGCAGCTGCCGCGCGTTGAGTGCGTGTGGGGGCTACTTTGGAGTCGCGGCGGCTGCAGCTGGAGCCCCGCGCTCGCTCGCCCGCGCGCTGGTTGGGCCCGGAGCCCCTCTCGTGGATCCACCGGAGTCGCCCCTCCTACCCCGAGCTCGCGCTCTTCCTCTCGCAGTCGCTGCAGCTGACCCGGCGCAGGAAGCCGACAGGGCCCCGGGCTGAAGGTAAAACCCCACGGTGAGTGAGATTCCGCTCCAAGAGAGGGAGGTGGCGCAGCCTGGCAGCTGCTCGCTCCCGGTCGTGTTCAGGCGGGCAGAGGTGCTGGGCGCACCTGGGGGCAGATGCACAGAAAGACGGGAGGTGGCGGACCCCCCTTTCCCCGCCCGCCCTCCACGTGCTCCGGGGCTGGAATCGGCTGCAGACCCCTGCCCGCAGCGTGGCTTCTGGCTAGCTCTCGGCGCAACCTTCCCGAGCAGGAATGAGAGTCCGGTCCCCACCCTGGCCTCCGGGCCCTGATTTTAAAACATATATCAACAAAATCCATCTTCCTTCGGGGTACAAGTCTGTCCCCGAACCCATCCCGAATCTCAGATGATTGCAGGGTGCGTGTTGGGCTGTGGGTGGCGGGAAAACAAACTTTTACAAAAGTGTGCCTGGGCAGGGGGACAAGGTTTAGGGCGTATTGATCTTGACGGAGAAGGTTCGGTTTGGGATTGTGGAGTCCCCCTCCGCTACGTCGGCCGAGTCACCCCCTGAACTGTTGCTGCTTCGTGGAGGAAAAGGGTGTGTAAGGGACATACAAATTCTGCTGAACCCTGGGCCAACAACTGTCAAACATCCCAGCCCCTCCCTTTCCCTCTACTGAGGAAGATGGTGAAAACCCTTTAACTTTCCTTTGATTGCTCCTGCCTGCCTTTGGACCCCTCTCATAAGGACGGGTCAAGGGCTGATCCCTGGCGCCTGGCAAGCAAGTATCAGAGACTCCAAACTCTCCAGGATTCCCCTACACCCACCTTCCTGACCCCCCTCCCAGACGTCCCCCCAGTAGAGACCACGCGACAGAGCCTATTAAGATCCTGGCGAACGGCTTTTCGTTTCTTCGCGTTTTCCCTATTGTGTGCCTTTCCCACATCTGGCAGGGCTCAGGGAGAGAAGGAAGCCCCTAGCGTCCTCCTCCCCTGCCCCCCCACGCCAGCCACCGGGCCAGCCCCCGCCCAGGATCCGGACCCCAGCGTGGCCGCCCCACCCGGGCCTTGCGGTTAGAGGGCGGAGGGAATGTTGTTCCTTCCCCGCCTCCTCGACTGCTTGTGGCCCAGGGCGCATATCTCAGATCTTATCCCACACGCACCGCAAAAGGCGCAGATCCGAAAGGGGCGCTAATTTCGAGCGCGTGGAAAAAAGCGAGGTTCCGCCCTAGTGCAGGGTGTCCTTTGGTGGGTTCCAGCGGATTTCAATCTCCGCCTAAAGGCGTGTGGCTGGGCCGCTGCCAGGGCAGCGGGATGGGATCAGGGCACTTCTGGCAAGGCAGAAAGCTGAGGAGGCTCTGAGGTCTGCGAGTTTCCAAGGGCTGGACGGCAGGCGAGTCGTTTTAAAGAGAATGATGACGGAAATAACCTAGGAAGCCTCAAGCCGTTGGCTAGAAATAATGGTGAGCTGGCTCCCTCCACAATGAATGTGCAGTTCTGACTTTGCGTAGGGCTCCAAGTTTAAACCCCAGACCCCTCTTCTTGGTATTTAGAAAAGAGACCCAGAGGACACAGCACAGACGCCACCGAAAGTGTTCATGCTTCCAACTCCCTGCCAACCGGTGGCTTGGGACTGGCCCCCAGTTCCCCTGTGGGTGCACCTGTGAGATTCCAGGTGGGCCTACTGTCCTGCCTTCCCTCACAAGCTAGATGCTTACACATTGTACTTGTTCTTATTGAGTGTGGATTATTTATTAAGGAACTAGGGCAAAAGCAAAGCGGCCACTCTGAGAAGGCAGTCCCCGGATGGTACCCCTCGAGAGTTGCTTTGCCTGGGAGGGAAGGTCGAGTCTGTGCACCTGCTGGAACCTATACCTGTACTTAGCCATCCATACACTGGTGTCGCCAGCATTTTCTGTGGGACGCCCAAACGGCATCTCTTCCAAGGAGACTCATTTGTACTCTTTTTATCGCCCACTTTTTGATCCCTCCCTCGAGCCAGAGTAGGGAGGAAGGTTCCATGGAAACTTGTGACCCATGTACCCACACAGGCATTTTAAGTGGAAACTGTGCACCTGCCTCTGCACAGTTCTAGGAGTTTTCCCTTTACCTGACTCAACAGAACTTTTTTTCTTCCATTTAAGAAAGACAAAAAACAAGAGAGACAGCTAACTCAGGAAGGTCGGCATATAGAGCACTTTCTCCAGTGATTTTTGGATATCACCAGTGGGACCAACAACCAAAAAAATAAAAATAAAATAAAATCTTTGAAGCCCCTGAAGCCACTTTAGATACACTTCATTATGAAAATGGGCCCCCAAGGAAGGATTCCTTTGAAATTTAGCAGCAACAGCAGCAGGACTCAAGTTGCTTAAGGGTATCACTAACAAAGTGAGAGGTCCGTGCTCTGTCCCAGCTAGGCCGGACCCTGGGAAGAAAAACAGTGGGAGATAAGCTTCTATAGTTTCTTTCATTTTATTAAAAAAAATAGAAATAAAAACAAACAACCTCCCCTCCCCCCAATTATTGTAGAAAATACACAGAAGTAAAAATGAAAACAAAGAGAGGAGGTATATTATAAACAAGGCTCCCATGAACGTTTTATCCAGTTATTTCCTTGGAATAAATTTCTGGAGATAGGCTAGCTAGGTCAAAGGTGGTGATGCCCCTTATAGGATATTTAAGATTGTCATATCGTCCTGTAGGACACTTATGCCAGTTTACTCTCTCCCCAACAGCTGACAAGAGGATTTTTTTCCCTATACCCTGTACTCTACTCACACTGTATTTTATCATTCTTTTACATCTTTGCCAGACTGATGGGGAGTATCTTGTTGTCGTCTTTTGCATTTCTTTAATCATAAATGAGATGAAACACATATTGTCTGTCAGTATTTCTTCCTTGGGGACGATGCCAGTTTCTGTCTTTATCTGTTTTTCAGTGGCCGCCTTCTCCTTTTTTCTGACTAGAGGTGCTATTAGTAAAAGCACGCTGTTCTAACTTCCGCCCCTGCCCTTATAGTCAGTCAGTCTTTATTGACTTAAAGTGCCAATTCTCTTCCCTCTTGTAGAACAAACATTTGGCAAGACTGCAACCATAAATTACTAAAGTAACTGACATGATCCCAATAGAGCTATTAGGGAGGTCATGCAAAGGCGCTATTAGAGAAATTCATGGAAAATACCAAGTGTATACTTTCTGCTTAGTAGCTTGCATGCCCCAACTCCTCTACAGCTAGTAATACTGTTTTTTGTTTGTTTTGTGTTCATTTGTTTCCATTTAGAACAAATCTGTTGATGAGTTGTTTTTACTAAATGGATGATGCTAACTCATTTTGTGGTCTGATCCTTTCACTGATCACCAGCACACCATGATCCACAATTTGTTCTTGTCCTTTAAACATTTCTTCTAACTTTTGGACGGAAATTTGCCTCAGTTTTATCGTAAGTCTTTCTCTTTTGGGCTATACAATTTGAGCCCTGTACTTGGATGAATCTTGAATCTAAACAGTTTAGCAGCATACGGTTCAAACAATAGCAGGAGAGGTCTCCCTCCAGAACCAGGTACATTTCACAGTCTTTTGTGGATTTGTGTAGCCACAGTCTCTATGTTAGTTCTTGATTGAGGGTAGATGATTCTGAAATGGGGTGGAGGTGCAAAAGGAAGAGTAAACTCATTTTAGCCAGATGATGAATGATGAAGGACCACATAAGAAAATTTAAGTAAACAATCTAGGTAATCTGGGTACAACCTAACTTTTAAAAAGATAAAATATATAAAAGTGGCATGTATGATTAGAGTGACTAATTTACTTGACAGACAGAACATGGTCTTCCAATTTGGAAAATCCAATATGAAATTCTTCCAGAGTATGATTGTAGGCATTTCACTCCAGGCACACAAAACAATGAAAGCAGATATGATACTTTTCCGCATGCTGTTAGATGTAGAAATCAAATAATATGCATTAGGAATGAACAGTGCTCTCTGCTTTAGAATCATAGGCTCTCAAAGGTTGAACAAGAGCTTAATGGTCATCTACTTAAACCATCTAATATCAGAGAGTGGATCTTCACTCTCTTAAAATAATAAAATATCATTTTACAAACTTTGTATCATTTCAAACAAACCAAGCTGAGAAACAAATGGGCCAGAACCACGCCCCTCTCCTTTTGTTTGGAGAGCTCAGGGAGAAAGGGAGGGTTTTAACTCCATGGAAGTTTGTATAAACTGTTTTAAGGTATTGAACTTTCATCGAATTAACAACTTTTCATCGAATTAACAACCATCGAGGCATTACATTTTGCAAAATTCTCTAATCTGTGTTTTCTAGCCATTGGCTCGGTAAAGTTCAAAGGTAGTATAACAAAGCAAGTACAAAGTAGCAAAAGGAAAGAGGATCAGAGGGTAGAAGATGGAGAGAGAATCTTATTCCATTAAAACTGCCTTCAGGACTTTCTAACAAGAGTTGGTCACCCAGGGGATGGTTGGCATCATCTCTTACAGAGGTGAACATGGCTGATATTACAAGACCAAACTTTAGAGAGAGTAAACATTACATAAACCACCACCAATTCAGCCAATAGCAGGCATAAAGGATAGCACAGTAATTCTTAAAATGAAGATGGAGGAGAAGGGCATTTTGGAAAGAAATGGAATTTTAGTTTTAAAACTATACCTTATTTTCTCCTGAGGAATGCTGTGAATTTCTGAAAGTAGTAGAAACATCTTATGAGTTCCAGCCGGATGATCTCCAAGGCACAGTGACTGAATTTCTTGTCTTTCAGGAAACTATCTATCCTGCGGAAGTATCTCTTTAGTTTTAGCTTGGTCATCTGGGGGACCGTAGCTCCTGGATGTTTCCTCTCATCCTCTGCCATCTCTGTCACGTCTTCATTTTCCATATCCTCTTCTTTCAAGCATTGTTCCAGGTAGTGCAATTGCTGATCAAGTCCAATTTGGATTTGTATCAGGTGTTTCTTGTCCCAAGTGGATTGGAAGGTATATTGACTGAAGATGTTGAAGGTCTGTTTGGATATTTCATAGAAGGCCTCCTTGATGTCTCTTTTCAGAGGCTGGGTGTATGACAGGATCTCTTGTGGCAACTCAAAAGCCTTGCTTTCTCTTAGACACTCCACAGGAAATGAATTGTTCCTACTGTTCAGAAACCTCAGGTTTCGCCAAGTGAGTCTATACAAGTGATTACCTAGCAAGTCACAGTCTAGAGAGAGGGTGTCAGGGATGAACAGGCCCACAAGGCACACAGACCACAAACACTTCTGAATCACGTCAGTCTTGGCGCTCATTTTTTTTTTCTGAGCTAAAATAAATTCAGAAGACTCAAGGTTGACAATGATGTTCTAGGTCTTAAGTATGCCTTTGCATGCCTTTTATACACCTGAATATCTTCAGTGGGGAGGAGTTTTCTCATTTGCCATTTAATGGTTCTCAAGGTTTCGGCCCCTTTCTTTTGTCTCTGAAGCTTTTTTACTTTTTTTTTTTTACTTTGGGTGACTACACTGACTTTGGAGATTTTATTTATTTATTTATTTATTTATTTATTTATTTTTGAGAACAGTGAGCAAAGCATTACCATTGCATTACCTCAGATGCCTGGATGACCAATCCTAGTACTATAGAATCATTATAAAAAGGCTGATGCAGAGTATGTCAGAAAAAACTGAAAGCTGTGTGACTACATACACTCACTCACCCAACACTATTATATAAGAGAAAACGATCATCCAAGAACACCTTATCTCAGTGAGTTAATCATAGCCATTGATCAAATGACTAAGGTGATTTGATTGTAAGGCTAATCTTGTTATATTAAGCTTCTAGATTTGGATATTTTCTTGTTTTATTTGATTTTTCTGGGTCTCATAAAAGATGAAAAACTCAGTTGGTCAATTGAGCATGGCACTTATCAAATAGAAGACTAACCCAGCTAGGTTTTCTGCTACCATTAAAAGATGTTGATACTCTCCAACCATCCTTTCTTTCAGTTTAGTTAAAGAGGAATCAGTGCTTCCCATCCCCGCCTAGCATTTTGTGGGCCTCTAATATATTTCATGGGGGTCTTCCAGGGGACTGTATATTGTGGAATATTTTTCTGCTTCATTAACCTCTGTCTTGTAGTATAAGGCATTTTCTTTACTTTTAGATATGGTTTAGCATTTCAAAACTTTTGCTTAGCTCTCTTTCCTTCTTTGGAGGTTCTGGATGTCATAAAAGTTTTTGTTTGTTCCTGTTTGGTTTTCATTGAGGAGGTGTATGAGTAGGTGATTACCCATTTTAGCCGAACTTGCTTTACACCTGGACCGATATTACTCTGGTAATGATGGCTGTCCACCATTTATGGTTTCCACTTTGTTTGACCAAATAACCTTTTTGTGGGTATAGTCAAAGCAAATGGATCCTTTTCTCCAGGAGCATGAAGTGGGATGTCATTAAATAAGACTAGCTTAATTATCATCTTAAAAAAGGAAATACATTAATTTTCCATAAAATTATTTTAGAATGATAAGCAAATATGGCAGACTTTGATTGGAAATTTGGCTTAAACTGTTCTTATCTAAATCAGTTGGCTACACCAAAGGCTAATTGTGGACAAGTGAGATTTCTTAAAATCCTGCTTTTTGGACTCGTTTCCTATGAAAAGAAAACTTATTACATATATTACACTATAGGCTCTCTCTATATAAATTCTGATTTCACAGATTTTGTGGGGTGACTAACTTGGAAAAATAATTGGGAAAAAAGGAACTTATTTATATAAGTTGGCACAACCTTCTTAGGGAGGAAAATGGTAATATGTGTCAAAAGTCTTAAAAAAGGTGCATAATCTTTGACTCAGTAATTCTCCCTCTAGGGATTTATGCTCAAGAAATAATGATGAATATCTTTAAAGACTTAGCTGTTAGGAAGTTTATCACAGCAAAAAACTGAAAACAATTTAAATGTTTAGCAATAGGTGCTTGGTTAAGTAATTTATCAATTAAAATTTCTGTACAAGCATTAAAGATTATGTTGTCGGAATATGTTTGGTCACTTGAATAGATTCACCCTGCAGCTTAGCAACAAGTTTATGTGGTAGTATATAGGGCCTAATACATATTTGTTATATATTTAATAGTAAGTGTTATATATTGTTACATAGTAACAAATATGCATATATATGCAGGAAAAATTCTAGAAGTATATATGCTACAAATATTGAGTCATTATCTCTGACTGGAAAAATAATGGGTGGTTTTTATTTTTGTATTTTTATTTACCAAGTTTTTTAAAGTTTTCTGTAATCAGCAATATTTCTTATTTGGTAAAACAAAACTATTTTAAAAATAGGATACATTTAAAAAGAAAAATTATTAGACATCTTCAGTGGGACCAGTACTACAATATTTATTTAAACATTTCCATTCTGAGTACTTCAAAAGGAAATGTGAATTTTCTCTAAGACTCAGTTCCAATACAGTTGGTATGAATAACATAGACTATGTGGGGAGTTCACTGTAGTAGTCTTGCAACTTTTCATATAAAAATATATATGTTTATGTAAATATATACGTACATTTATGATTCTGTAAAGTGCAAAGCACCTCTGAGAGCCATCCCTTCCTATATACCTCACATAATTTATTTTCCCTAAAACACAGTGAATTGTCCCAGTTATAATTACTTGTCTCCCTTTGGGGCTTTTACAATGCTTTGTCCTCTTTACTTATTGCTTTAAGAAATAGATAATTGTATAAGTATTGATCTCTCAATTTTGTCTACTTCTCCTCCCCCACCCACTCAGGGTGCTTTGTACTTATTTGCACTTATTTGAGACAGTTCAACCATACTAACCAGGCTGAGAGATTGTTCAGTTGAACTGTGATGCTAAGAGGTCCTGTTCATAGATCATGGAGATGGCTGGAGATTTGGCTCTTGCAACCATCTTGAAGTTCCCAATATTTTCTGCCATGTACAAAAATTTCCCTCACCCCAAATTTCCTCCTTTTTATAGTCATTCCACATCATATCCTCATTTGTTTAACACTGTATTTTTAGCATCGAGCCCATGCCAATCACTGGGCTAGGTCTTGAAGAAGGAGGAATAAGGTACAGTTCAGAATCTCAAGGAGTCCATGATTGGAGAAGCAGACATGCTCTGAGTGTTTCGGATAGCAGGAATAATCCATAGGTCTTCCCTGTCGCATGGACCGCATTCCCATGTTCTATAAGTATTAATTGATGCTGATGTTGACACTATTCATGACAGAAAAGGGAAGATGATTGACATGCATGTTTTCCTTCCTTCTACCATTTAGGATTGCCTGATTTCGTATATAAAAATACAGAACACCCACACAATATTTGGGATGTACCTATAAAAATCATTAATTGTTTATTCAAAATTCAAATTTAACTGGGTGTCCCATGCTTTATCAGGCAACCCGACCCACCATGCAAGCTCCCACTGACCTCGTAGAGCAGAGCTCAAACATGGAGCTCTCTCTAGGAAGCTTTGTCTTCTATGAGTGGCCCACCACGTGCACAAGTGCATTCAGTTACATGTCTCTGCATTGGCTTTCCTTGTGCACAACCACGCACACTCTAAGGAGGGCCCCTGCCATATTTAAACAAAATAGTACACACACACACACACACACACACACACACACACACACACTCACACACTCATAATTGTTCTGATCAGAAGCATTCTTGGATGATCAGCCATTGGTCATGCCTCTGTTCTGTAAAAGCCATACCGTCTGAATATATCTCAAAATCTAATCAGGAAATTGAAAAGAATGACAGTGTAAGGAAATGTCTTTGTCCCACAATTTGTCTGTTACAACTGCTCAGTCTGTCATTAGTGGGTTATGTGTGGACATAGCTAGCGTTTCCATGATATCTGTTCTTATTCCTCTAGTGTATCTTGAGATCACTTCCATGTGGTCGGGCTTTCTTCAGAAGGAAAGCTGATTAGCAGGGACTGCCCCATTGGCAATGAAGCTGTGGGAGTTCCGTGTGGATTCCAAGATTAGCAGTATTGGGCACGGCACAATTTGTTTAACAAACTAGAGATGAGACATTTCAGTCTAGACAAGATAGATAGCTATGATTCAGCTCAGGGCATTTGGCATCTTCTGGTAAGATTTATTGCTGTCCATAGGAAGACAAGTTTCAAACCAGCATTTCAGAATAACATGCCTATCATCCATGTTACTCAGTACCTGAAGGTAAGTCATTCCATTTGTGGGGTCAGAAGGTGGTTGAGCCCATAGAGAGCTCAGAGGGGAAGCCCTGTGTCCATGTCTGGCAGTGCTCCCGACAGGACATGGAGACGTCAATCACCACAAAGTGGTGTGCAACTACTCGTATGTTAGCCCCAGGCCAACCCTGCAGCGCCATCAACTTGGCTTTTTACTCGTTCTCTTTGCCTCCCATATTGGGATCGGCCTCTCCCGTGGTCCTCTAGTCCCCTTCTTGGCTATTCTTGTCTTCATGATGTATCTGATATAGAAATGTATAATGATTACACAAATAATACATGGATATGTCTATATTGTAAAAACTCAGACACTTCAGATAAAGTGAAAGCTTTTCTTGCCAGCTCAGGCTCATGTCACGCCACTGTCCTCCCATGCAGTAGCTAGTTATCAGTTTGGTATGTGTTCTTATTTGATATCTGTCTCCACATTAAACACTCAATTCCGTGAGTGCAAGTGCAACAACTGGCTTCTTTGCAGCTCCCTCTTGAGTGCCCAGCAGAACCCAAAGAGATCAAAAGAGACCTGGATCACTGCCGTGGGTGATATGCAACTTGGGAGTTGGGATTTACTATATATATATTTTATATTTTAAATTACTCAAGCAGGATTATAAAAATGGTGACATGCTTTGAAGTTTAATCCTATAAGTGTATCTTTGTGACTGAATATGTGATATCATTTGGAGATAATATAAAAAAATCCACATTATAAACCCTTCATAAATGAGTCCCAGGATAAATGGGTCAGCAGACCTGGATCAGAAGGCTCCAGGACCGATCTCGGCACCTGGCGCATAGTAGGTACTCAGTAATTATTGGTTGAATGACTAAAAGAAGATAAGGAAGCCATGTGTCAATATTTTGCGGTTTAATTATTTTGGTGTAGGGATATGGGCAGTACAAAGTCAGGTGTTGGGGCTAGTTGACTTCACAGCATGGTAGATGGCGGCTCAAGGTTCAGTGTGCTCTCCTACTTCCATTGCTTTTCTTTGGAATTCCCTGAGGCTGGTTATGTCACGAGCACTGTCATACCTCTACTAT